TGCGTCTTCTCACTCGCCTCGCCTCCTGCGTTCTCTCTCTCTCCTCCTCTCTCTCTTCTCAATTTCACTCTCCTCTCTCTCTCTCGGCCTTCCAGCGTGCTTCTCAGCTCGATGTGCCTTTCTCTCATTTCTCTCAGCCTCTCTCTTTCTCTCTTCTTCTCTCTCTCTCTTCTCACACTCCTCTCTCTCTCTGCTCTCTCATTCTCCCTTTCTCTGTCTCTCTCTCTCTCTCTCTCTCTCTCTTCTCTCTCTCTCTTTCTCTCTGCTCTGCTCTCTCTTTCTCTCTTTCTGGCTCATCTCTCTCTCATCTCTCTCTCTCTTTCTCTCTTTCTCGTTCTTCACTCTACTGCTTTTCATTCTCTCTTCTTTGCTCTCTGCTTCTCTCTCTCTCTCCTCTCTCTCTCTGCTCTCTCTCTCCTCTGCTCTTCTCTCTGCATCTCTCTCTCTGATCGCTTTTCCCTTTACTCTCTATGTCCCCCTTCGAAACTCTCTCCTCTTTCTCTCTTTCTCTAAATCCTTCCTTCTCCTCTTTTCTTTCTTTCTCTCCCGTTCATAGCTGCACAATCATTCATTTCACGTAAGGTCACGCGTGACAATGTTTCCTTATCATTGACCACTGTCAGTTTGAAAGGTCGGGATATGTTCGCATATCGCAGCTTATCTACAGCGTAATTACCACTTGTATTATGTACACTTGTCAAAGAACCCGCGAGGATATATTTCTTTGAACACATTAAGACTCTACACGCCGGCAAACCCTGTTGGGCATCAGTGGCGGCGCGTACATGGCCGTGACAAAGGCGCAAGTGAAACTGCGGAGCAGCCCGCTAGGGCCCGCACCTAAAGGACTGCTGTTTGACAGAAAAACGTACGGAAGGGCGTCAAGGGTAACGGCTTATGGTTTGCACTTCACGCACCAATACCAACAATGTTATAGACGTCTCGCCAAACTACACATAGTCGCACTATGTATAGATACTTCAGGGTTTTTAGTCTTACACTAGACATATATACTGTCGCAAGTGAAAGCGTTCATCCGTCTCATAGTTCATATTCCAGTATAGTTTTTTCACAGCCACGCACAGTTGCTTATTGTGGTCGCACCCGTGCGCAGCGATAGGCTGGTGGCAGTCTGTAACTGGCTACATTTCATTCAAATTTTATTAGAATGTCGAGGCGGATAAGTCGCGCGTATCATACGCGGCGTCGTATTTGTTATTCTTTAAAGGAATATAGTTTAAGAATCATTGCCACAGCGCGATAACAGCATTGATACTGGCTGAATATCCAGCTGGCCATTTCAATAATCTTATTCTAGGAATCATTATTAAAAGTCGTGAATTTACGCGCGGCTTACCTATCTTTTTAATTTGATTACGCATGACTGAATTCTATTAATGCCAATTTCATAAAAATATACACTAACTTAAGTTAGCGTGACCATCTACTGTCATACATCAACCTGTGAACCATGGCTGTATACCTGATTATTACAGAGTAATACAGGTAGTAAGTCATGTATCTAAACAGAGAAATATCGGCCTTAAATAGAAACAACTAACCTGTTCTGTACGCACAAAAAATTTACACTGCCAGCAAAACTCTTCTACGACTATAACTCTAATCCCAATGTCAAATCCGATTGAATACAAGAGAGGCGAGAACCTCCACCAGTGTCTAACTGAATTAAATATAGACGTGATATGTACATTCTGTGTCTGTCCCTTGGAGTCGGATAAGTTTGAAGACAAATTATAACTGCGTGCGCAGCAACGACAGCTGTAAACAGCTTCGCAAAAAATATTCATCAAATCTTTTGGCATTAATACGGGAACTGCGAACTTAAAATGAACGATGGGAACCACAAAGAACACGGCGCTAGAAAACCAAGGTCATGCGAAACGCTGGCATATATTCTTAACGGGGAGAGAATGGACTGCGGAGAAAGACAAGAGAAAATGACAAAAGGGAGAGTAAGGGCGCTAGCGCGCGATAGAAATGGCGCAAATTCCGCAAGAGGTTTTAGTTCGACCTCTTGAATAAATGCAAACACGAGGGACAAACTACGCTACAATCTGTATAATGAATTATTTCGAGACTCCTATAAATGAGATACTTGGTTGGATTACTTACCCATCGCACATTATTCCGCCTCCAAATGAACCGTCAATAAATCAGGAAAGACACGTCAATAGTAAGGCTGGCCTAAACGTGTTAGATGCAATAAGCCATGTTGTGGCAATGGACTGATTCTTTGCCACTCGTTTACGTCTGAAAGAGAAATGATGACAAATATCATGAATGATGATGCAGGTAAACAAAATAAAACAGCCACATTTGCTTATCGGTTTACTTTTCTGTAGACACGTATCTAACCTTTCGACAAACCTTGATCTTTGGATGCTTGAATGTGAGAGATATTCGAGAATATATACATAACAACAGTCAGTCACACAGGCCACCATTTGTTCGATACAGGAACACAGGCAATCTATTTATTGAAAAAAAAGACGTTACCGACGTAACCCTTACAGGAAGTACCGCCTAATTATTATAATATTAGGCTTTAATTTAATATGCTATACTCATTGACTAGCAGTACTAATTTATTATCACTCCTCGATTACTTATGCTATATGGAGGTGAGATTACTTGTAGTGTGACTAATGGTGTAGGCTACGATCGCTGCGTTGAGTTAGGAAGCCGGTGCTGACATGGCATGGTGTCTGCCCCGTTCTCGATGATTTGTAGCGGAGAATCAGGTCAGGCTGTCGGAGTGTGCTTATAAATATTCCTAAATATCGCGACCGTCGGTTTTGCAAAGGCACAGCGCGCGAATGCCGAGAGCCCGCGAGTTTACGCTTCATTTCTGGATAAGATTCATTTCATGGGGAGCGCAGCCGCTGACGCGCGCTAGCTTAATGGTCATTACAGACACACGGATGACCACTTTAATGTTAGGCAAAGCTTGCTGCGTCCTGCATCATCTGCGCTGATAGCTAGGCAATGATGGACAGGCTAGATTTAACACAGACAAAGCCCATTGAGCAATTACGGTTTCGTAAAGTTTCCCCCGCCTCGAATATTAACGTGGCCCCATTAGGCTGCCTTAAGGATTAACAGAGAGGAATCATTGCAACCCTAGCCGGTCATATGGGATACAGCGAGACAATACACTCCCATGGATGTAAACCACACATATTAACATCGCGCTGAGGATCTGATCTAATGAAAAGAAATGCGGATTTCAGCAGCAGGCATGTGCTCATCACGCCCCCCCCCCACCGCAAGATGCGAGTGAGTCGTACGGCAGTCTGTCCCATACGCAGCAGCGCCGTGCGGTCAAGATTACGAACGTTTTATAATTATATGTATATTATAGGCGATAGTTGATAGTATGGGCGATATTCAAGAAGCGTATAAAGAAGGCCTTCTTATACGCTCTTGGCGATATATAGGCGCTGGATATCACGCTGTTTATTTTTGTAATTGTTTAATTTTAACGCAATTCAGTGTGCTGTTTAAAAGGAATTTAGAAAGGTTTATTACGCGATGGTTTTCTATGGCATATGCGGGACAGTTCGGCGTTTTCTATCTAGATATTTGCTCAGTAAAGCGATTACTATTATTATTAATATTATTTATTATTATTATTATTATTATTAATACAATATTTAATCGCGGCATGAGCCCAGCCGGGCAAATATTGCATGTGGGGAGTAACTAAACTTGAATAGCAGGCACGTTGTGTAAGCCGGCGCGGGCCGCATTGGTGGCAGTGGTCGTGTGATATACTGCCACGCTAGCTGAACCACTGTTATTACGTGTTTACGCTGTGACTTCAACAGGGCGACATGCCGCATTCATACATCTACGAGCGCGAGCGAGATAAGTGACGCATAGACTAACGCGAATCCGTGGTCGATAGAGAGAAAATGCTGAGAGGAAACGGTTTTACGCTTTTAAATGACAACGTGCCAATTTCGCAAATCGCGACTCGTAAATTGTGCGCGTCTGTGTCGGTATCGCATAGCAACAGATACCGCGAGCGCCATCTGCTATATATGCTTCAGTTATCAAAGTGATCCTGATGAATGGTAACATTTCTGAGGGGAATTGACATGTGAGTACCGACATGCGTGCTTTAAATGCATCAGTCGCCTATACGATAGGCTATTATAAAGTACAATTTTTTACAGCGCATGTGCCATCATTGTCGTCTATTAGTGGCACAAATTTATGTTGGACGATTTCATTTCATTTTTTTTTGAATATAACGAATAAAATAGTGAACGCCGACGCGGAGAAACTATCGCCACGATATTAGCATCACCTTGGATCGTAAGGCGGCATTTAAGGGGGACATATGAATTACTGTGGTGAATACGACTGTTTCGTACTGTATTTCACGCATCAAGCGTCAAAATTACTATTAATCCGTCTGTCTACGTGCAAGAGAGGCCTGCGTGTCGTCTGTGGCCTCGACTAGCGCCAAAAACAGCAGATCCAGTGCATACCAGTGTCAAACCTTGGTGCTCGTGGCATGCCGCAACAGTACGCATTATAGACGTGTAAGCTCAGGTTTGTGGAGTCTGACCAAACATTCTCCAGAATAATTAGACTGCGAATGAGAAGCGTCTAAAAACTATGATGTTATGAAGGTTTGCTCCAAAAAATATCGCGGGAAAATAAATTGGCCACGCATGAAGTTTCTTTAAATATATAATTGACCCAGTTTTTCGTCTAAACTTAAACGCTGTGAGGTAGTATTGATATATATATTATATATATATTTATTTATTTATTTATTTATTTATTTATTTTATTTATTTATTTATTTATTTATTTATATATATATATATAATTATATATATAGATAATAATTTATTTATTTATTTATACAAATAGTGTTACAACTACATGATTGTGGAGATTCGCGTGAATACACTATATTACAAGCGCGTAGGTGTCGTAGCACATTGCGCATGCGTCATATTTACCTGGAATATCACAGAGTTCTCCGCCCCAGTCGCAGTCACAGTAACACTGCGATCCTTTGTTGTTGAGGCAAGCGCCATGCTCGCAGGCGGGACGACAGTCCTCTGCAATATCGAATAAATAGCTTTGTGTTAGAGCGACATGCATGCCGAGACAATTTACGCGTCATAAGAATTTCAAACGTGCCTAGGTAATGCCTCCTGCGCGAAGAATTGAAATGGAAATGGTAATTATACGCGTTTTTCTGTGAATTTATCGGTTCTGATTTCCATACGTTTGTGGCCTAGTAACACGAATATCGAGTTTTCTGTTAAGAAGATGCCGGTTTCGACTGCGGGAGTTGCCATGCAAACCACGGAATCAATTTACAAAATTTTTATTAGCAGTCTGCATTCATGCGTAATTCTCATTTTAAGACATACAGGTGTATCTTGTTGGTCGCGGGAACCATACCAACACAAGGACCACAGACACTATCAGCATCTAGATCATTTCTAGGTAATAATTTCAGGTTATATTTATGGGCATGCGATGGCCGACCGCTGCAAATATGTAATTATATTTATACGGGGCTACGTTTCCACAAGGAACTGTTTATGTATGAGCGTCCACTTATTTACACGTAAATGATAAAGTCATGCGTTGGGAAACGTGAAGTCATAACGTCACAGATAGCCAATGTAGGGAACCCATGAAGGGAACCCATGCAGAGAACGCATGCACAGAACCCATGCAGAGAACCCATGCAAAGAACCCATGCACACAACCAATGCAGGGAACCCATGCAAGGAACCCATGCAGGGAACCCATGCAAGGAACCCATGCACAGAACCCATGCACAGAACCCATGCACATAACCCATGCAAGGAACCCATGCTAGAAACCCATGCAAGGAACCTATGCAATGAACCCATGCAAGGAACCCATGCAAGGAACCCATGCAATGAACCCATGCAAGGAACCCATACCAAGAACGCCATGCACAACAACTGCAATGCAAAACACCGCATGCAAGGACCCATGAAGAGAACTTATGGCAGGAAGCGCAATGCAAGGAACCGCCATGCAGAGGAACCATGCAAGGAACCCTTGCAGGAAACGCCATAGCAAGAAGCCCATGCAGCAGAAAGCTCATGCAAGGAACGCCAATGGGCACGAGAAGCGCAATGCACAGGAACCCATGCACAGAACCCATGCCAAGAACCGCATGCAAGGAACGCCATGCAAGGAACCCATGCAATAAACACCATGCAAGAAACCATGCAAGTAACCATGCAAAGGAACCCATGCAGCAGAACCCATGGAAGGAACCGCATGGCAAGGAACCCCATGCAAGGAAACCCATGCAGGGATACCCATTGCAAGAAACCCATTGGCAATGAAACCCATGCAGAAGAACCCATGGCAAAGAACCCATGCAGAGAACGCATGCAACAGAACCCATGCACAGAACCCATGCAAGGAACCATGCACTAGAACGCAATGCACAGAAACGCCATGCACAGGAACTCAATGCAAGAGAACGGCCATGCAAGAAACCCCATGCAGGGAAACATCAAGGAACCCATGCAAGGAAAGCCCAATGCACCAACTCCATGCAGGAATCCATTGCAACAGAACCCATGCAAGGAACCCCCATGCAGAGAACGCATAGCACAGAAACCATGCACAGAAGCAGGCCATGCAAGGAACCCATCACAGAACCAATGCAGAGAACCCCATGCAGCGAGAACTCATGCAGAGACCCATGCAAGAAACCGCAACTGCAAGGGAACCGTCACTGCAAGAAAACCGCATGCAAGAACGCCATGCACCAGAACCCATGCAAGGAATCCTTGCACTCAGAACCCATGCAAGGAACCCATGCAAGGAACCATGCAATGAACCAATGCACAGAACCCATGAGCAAAGGAAACCCCAGTGCAGCACAAACAAATTCAGGGAAGCCCATGCAAGAAATCCCTATGCAGAGGACCCAATGCAGGGTACAAATGCAAGAACCATGCAAGAACGCCATGCAAGGACGCCATGGCACGAGAACCCATGCAGAGAACCCATGCATGGAAGATAGCGGACGCGTGGCGCGATGCTTACCTCTACACTCCATGCTGCTCACATCTTCATCGACTGCCGACGCGCAGTTGTCGACACCGTCGCATATAGATGAGATGTTGAATAGTAGCAGGTGGTCTGAGTCCTCATCCACCTGACAGGCAAACATTCCTAGCTCCAGGTCCATGATGAACGTGTCAGCCGGTGCGACATTGGCGTGGGTCGTCGATGCCTGCGATAAAGATTTATGATTGGTTGCGGTTTCATCAAAAAAATTAAATATTTTGATTGGTGAGTTTTTTCGTATCATTTGGTTGGTATTCTTTTCCATTGTGGTATTAATAGGGACTGCCATTTTGCATGGAAATTGTTACAAATATTATTTTCTTAATGAGCTTGATAAATGTAAGCACGATATTAGCCGCGTTCACACGGAGCGTTTGTCCCGGGTCGAAAACGATCCGAGACTAAACCCGGAATGCAAAAACGACACGAGCGTCGTTCTGAAGAGAGCTTCACACGACGCTATGCGAGCGGCGAGCTGCGAGCTGAGAAAAAATATACAGCGTCCAAGCGAACATCAAAGCCGAAATAATGCGAATTAAAACAATCAATCTTGTGCTGGGGGAACACTGGCGACGTCATAACCGCCAGTGACTAATAGGGCTGCCTGGCTTTTGCTGTTCAAAACTAATTTCCCCAGGTGGGGCGTCGGTTATCGGCTTCCGGGTGCTGCTTGACTACGGTCATAGGTACGACCATACGATAACCAAATCGCCATATATTCCATTTACTTCGTATATATATTAAATATCCATAGGTAGAAGTCGTAGTATAGTAGAAAATATAGTACAATAGTATGTCTGAGTATATTTCATTCTATATTTACCTTGTTACTCTATAAATAAGTTACATTTATAAACAACAACAAATTCCGTTTTTGAGACAATAACATTAGCAGATTACCAAACGGCCTTTCTTCGCGATAAACCCGATCGATAGTAGGCTCTATAGGAAATGCTCTCCGCCCAAGACAACGTGGCCTAATTTCAGCGTGACCCATTCCTCCCAAGGCACTCCTCGTGGCTGATCGTTACATTCACTTCAGGACAGGAACACAACACCGGCCAGGCATTTTCAAAAGGGCTAAATAAATTCTTTCGCTACGTTCTATATTTACTGTTAGTGTGTGGTGTTACAATAGATATAGAATACAGAACAAGTGTATTCTATTTACCTATGGTTCTTACGCACGAGGCACTTGGAGCGTTTCGAATAAAAATAATGCTAAAGAAATACGCGAAATCTATTTACTAAACGCTAAGTTCTTAATGTCTTCTCTACACTTTCTTTCATACACTACTATTGCGCGACAATTTCCCTGTAAATTGCCGTCCAAATGCTTCATCTGCAGCACACGCTGGCTTGCCGCACAGCAGCTGCTGCACACTGACACATAATATAATAGTTATTATTTTTTATTATATTATATATATTATACTATATAATTATGTATATATATATATTATATTATACAAAAATATATTAAAAATAACTATATAGGCTATTTATGTGTCAGGATGTGCAAGCAGCTAGCGTTGCGGCAGCCAGCGTTGTGTTGCAGATGAAGCGCATTTGGACGGCAAATTTCAGGAAATTGTCGCAATAATAGGTGAAAGAGAGTAGGCCTAGAAACATTAAGACTTTGGTAGTAAATAGATTTCGTATTTATTTAGCATTATATTTTATTGAAACGCTGCAAGTGCCTGTGGTCTTACGCGCTAATCAGTGCTTCACGAGCTTGACAACAACGTAAACAAAGCAACCGGAAGCCGATAACGGCGAGCGATGCGAGCGACATCTGGCGCCGCAGTATGAAAGCCGAGGAGCCCTATTCTTTCCCGGGTCGTGTGCCGGTGAGCGATCACACGGCAAAAATAAACCAGCGCTCGGTACGAAAACGACCCGGGTCGAAATGACACTGGTCGTTTTTGTACCGAGAAAACGTCCGTGTGAACGCTTGGTCCGGGACACAGGCACTTGGAACGCCTCAATAAAAAATAAAAATGTAAACACGAAATGTATTTACTACTAAAGTCTTAATGTTTCTCGAGTCGTTTTCGACCCGGAGTTTTCGCTCCGTGTGGACGCGGCTAATATGTTAATTTTGGGAAATGCAACCGTGTGAATATACGGCCATTATCATGAAATCAGAAGTAGATAATAGTGAATCCCTATTATATACTTCTGATGAAATGGATTGACTTCACCACGTCATACCGACAGAGAGAAGGAGTTATCAGACCTATATGGTTCCGCATATAGCAGTTGTTATGCGGTACGCTTGGTCAGGGAGTTTATAATAGCCTATTATAGACTCCCTGGCTTGGTTTACACGATGAGGTTTTACTATTACACTTGTGACCATTAGTTTCCCAATTCCCCATACGCAATAATATTTCCAGCTTGCGCAATTTGTTCAAAATTTCTAACCCGGTCGTGATTATTCTATACGTACAGTTCTTCTCGATATTTGGCAACATGTACGTATGTATTCTAGCTAGCTGACCTGCCCTGCTGCAGAGCTCTATAGGGAAACGCTGCGCTATACAGTTAGATGTGTTAGCGTGGTCGCGTCTACACCTTGCAAGGTCAAGGCGAAGTGGGCGTTTTGAGTAAACACTGGTTTTCGCCACACTGGCTAATTATCAGATCCTGTTAACCCACACTATTCATTAGCGACTATATATCGCATTGCTTCACGGGTTCTAGTTGCGTGGACGGTGGAGTTAATTCTCACCGGGATCGGTGAGACGAACAAAGAGCTTAGAAGAGTGGGGTTAAGTAGAACTCGGGAATTTTTTATATAGTAATATTGTTTGCTGGAAGGATTACGATGTATCGCCACGCCTCTTGCGCAAGCACTTGGCTATATATCAGCCTCTGGTATTTCGCTCGCATACCATAGAAAGAAAGAGACACTATATCTGGCACGTTAAAGTTAGCTGGGATATGCGAAAAGAACACAAAAGAGTAAGGAGAGTATGTTGCAGCGAATAACTAGTGAGGTATACAACGAGGCCTCGCTGCTTATGTTAACGCATCCGCTCTGTGGGACAAAGGCCCTCGCTAGTATCTGATTGACGAATAAATTAGAAGAATCTGATAATGATATGCGACATGTCTGTTTAGCGGGAGGTCTATACGCAACTTTCACTTTCATATTTCCACATCGGCTGCATATACGCGAGGCAGTGACGCATGACAAATCGTGAGTGCACTGACGGCTACACCTCTCAGCGTAACAGTTAGCGACTCCTGGTCTCGATTTTGACAACTGTTGGCAGATTTAGCGATATTATCGTTAGATATATTGCAGAGATGTGAGAGAATCGGTCGCAGGCTATAGCACTGGCCATGGTAACAGGAGCGCAGTTCATTGTTCTTCACCCAGCCAGCATAGTATTCCGCGATAAACTGATTAGAAGGTGCGCCCTTGGAATTTGTTCATAAAGACCAGTAAAGAATCGAATAGCTATGTGAAACCATGAATGTGCAATACCTGCACATAATACTCGGTTTCGATAAACGAATGCACATTTTCACGATGGAATCTATAACATTACAGCGATATCAAGGTCTAGGAATATTTAACGTATTATACCTATAGGTACAATTAGCAATTGGTGATATTGAAATATAGGCTACGCCAATATTGTTGAGATGGCCACATCTATATAAATGTCTAACGTAGATGGTATAAGAACCAAGGTTATTGTAAGGTAATTGTATACGGTATATTAATAAAACTTCGACTTTGCGCGTGCCATCGTAAAAGATCTTTAAATACGGTTCTAACTGTAATATAATTGACTGTCAACGTTTATGTTATTGGCAGACCACCATCACTATGAGCTGTGAGAATTGTATAACGTCGTAAAGAACATTGAATGCGTGAACCGCGCGTGTATTCTCTAATTTGACCTCGCTTTCGTTACGAATCGTATATAAGTACTTCGCTTTAGGGGGGAAACTGCATTCATCGTGTGCGGGTACATTCAGTGGCATGTCAAACGTACTTCTGACACACGAGTTATATAAAAGTCGCAAGAGCGTTTCGTCATCACCTTTGTTAATAAGGAATGCAGCATTTGAAAGCAAGCAGAACTGATTTGCGCACTAACACGCGCATGTGCACATGCACGCACGCACGCACGCACGCACACACACACACACGCACACACGCGCGCACGCAGATACGCACCCGGATAAAACTTCAGTTCAGCACACGTCACATTTACCGTAAATCAATAATTACATAAGTAGGTTATATAGTTTATAATAACATAAGTAGGTTATATAGTTTATAATAACATAAGTAGGTTATATAGTTTATAATAACATAAGTAGGTTATATAGTTTATAAAGCTACACCGTATGTTTTCTACTGTCGTGGCCACGCTTCGCTACTCGTAAAACCCCGTGTTGAGCGAAAGGTCCGTGAATAGATCCTAATAGACAGACTGACCCGTTACCCAGTCGACTAATTTCACAGCCGTGTCACTACTCAATGGCGGTCAACCACAGCTACAGGTGATTTGCCGGCGCTAAGCGCCTGTCGTTACGCCAGGCAAGCTCGTGTTCATCACCTGCCCACTCTATAATGGGCAGGTGAATCGCGCTACCTTGCCGCAGTTATCGAGTTACGAGCAAGGCGGGTCGGTCGGTCTGCGAGAGAGACGTCGGTGATTGACAGAGTTGACGCCGACGTTTATTTCACTTTAGAAATCGAGGCTGCGTGCGTGGCGTGCGGTAAAACGTGTGATAATGAGTGGCGGTCACATAGAATTTGTCGCTAAGGCGTCCATTGCGGTGTGCGTGCGTGTATGCGTGCACGCGTGCGTGCGTGTGCGTGCGTGCGTGCGTGTAGCAGCCGGGCGTGCGTGCGTGTTAGTTCGCGTTAGGTTTAGGCACGAAGCAACGTTGCAAAAAGGACGCGAAGAGGGCAGCAACCACGCACACATGCGCACGCACATACGCGCACGCAAACTCGCGCACGCACACACGCGCACGCACACACACAGGTTTGGTCATTTACCAAGCGCAGTGGATTGACCGTAATATATATATATATATATATATATATACGACCCAAGGGCATAACAATGGTTTGCCTTAATAAAGTACGTGTTTCTTTGTCTGGGTTAATGACGCAGATAAGGTCTATGTCTCCTTGACCTCTGTTTGACCTCGCTCGTTTAGCTATTATTGACTAATATATATATATATATATATACGACCCAAGGGCATAACAATGGTTTGCCTTAATAAAGTACGTGCTGCTATCACCTGTAGAACACCTACGAAAGCATACCTGCGCTATTTTCAAGGTAATCTGAAGGAGTACGCATGCTTAGTAATCTTGTCCTGGCCTTACAGAATAGACGGTGGTAGCATGCGCATGATTTAGGGGCGATTGGGAGGATATAAAAAATGTAATAGGAGTGTGTAGCAACCCAAGCACAACCCCCATACTAGACTGAACTCTGAAGTGACCATTATCTATATGTATACGGTGCATCATAAAAACACCGTAAAGCTCAAAATGTGGTTCGTTATATACGCCAGGGAAACATCCACGATGGCTCTACCCCATATATCATGCTATACGGGAGGGTACTCTCAATCTGTCTATACGCACAGAGCGTGCGCGTGGCCCGTACATGGTTTACTACTCCTGGCCGAGTGGTTCTTTCGTAGTATTCGTTTGTTATTATTCTTTACATGTCGGTACAAATCGCAAGCTATACCCCAGCGCGCATACTAAGATATGTACAGTTTTCCGCGGACGGAACACGTGGCCCAGAGAGAGTGAACAAGAGAGTAGGTCACTGCTACCGATCTATGGTTTACCTGGCGCGAACTGACATCCTCAGCTGTGATTATAATACACAAGGTATCAACTACGCCGAAGTGAAAGATACATATCGAAAGAGTGAGAGAGAACCCATGGCAACAGGTGTAACAATACAGTGGAAGGTCTCCAACTGCGTAACCGTAAGATCGAACTAATGTGTATATCAGATATACCGCACAATAAAAATTATGACGGGGAAATGCGCTCCAGTCCCCGCGGCAAGCGTGGCTGACTACCATCAACAATAAAATTGGAAATGATCGAATGATAACATCAATATGTTCAGCATCGCACTAGGAACAGTGGCAGACGTGAAACGTACGGTTCGCTCGCGCTTGTTAGCCCAGGGTCGGCTAAAATGTTATTTCGATCTAAGACGGAAAGATAAAGTTCATCCTAATTTATCTATTAACTTAATCAATAAATCTCATGGACACTTACCGCGAGTATCAGCATCAACGCAATTAACCTTGGTTGCAGCATGATGGTCTGGAATAAAACGACGAGAAAAATTGAATTACACTTTTAATATGCAGTCGGTGTTGTATATACGTACACGAGTACAATGTTGAGCGTTATTTAAAAGCGTTAAACCGGTCGACTGGTGTGTTTTACGACTGACAACTCAATAAAAGAAATCATCCAGAGAATCATTCAACCCCTAACAACACAACAGGAAACATAGATAGGCATTTGCGAGATATACTTTTAAGCATTCACCGTAATTCAAGTTTATAAGTAGTTTGTTTTGATTTCATCAACACGCAGCGGGTTAGTGACTACGGGACCGACATATCCAGAAACTGTATATACGTGATCATATGTTTCATCGCACTCCATAACGTAATTACGCATCGACGGCTGCTAGCAGCTACTCCAGACGTCTCGCTGTGCGGAACGTGCGTGAGTTTTCACGCGTGTCCCACCCCCCACGTACAAGCTCTGACTATACATGACGAGCCACAACCGATGTGCGACCACGCAATACAGCGCATCCCACCCCCCGCGTATATATATACTACACACTGTGATTCCACGGAGCAGTCTGGATGACAAGGATATGGCCTTGTTTCACCGCGGTGTTGTTCTAAATCGCCCCCGCGCGTAAGAATTAATACCTGTATACGTAGTTCTCACGAGCGGGCGGGCACGCTACGTCATGAGGTGTGCTGAGATAGAGAGAGGGAAGGAGGGAGGAAGGGAGGGAGAGGGAGGAGGGAAGCGAAGGAGAGAGGGAGGAGGGGAAGGGAAGAGGAGAGATAGAGAGAAAGAGAGAGCGAGAGAGCCTGAGAGAGAGAAAGAGCGTGCTGAAGAGAGAGAGAGAGAAGAGGAGAGAGAGAGAGATGAGTAGAGAGTGAGAGAGAGAGAGGAGAGAGCTGAGATGAGAAGAGAGAGAGAGCGATGAGAGAGCTTGAAAGAGAGCAGAAGAAAAAGACGAGAGCTGAGAGAGAGAAGAGAGATAGAGAGTAGAGGATAGAGAGTGAAAGAGACGAAGCGTGAGAGAGAGTGCTGAGAAGAGAGTGTGCGCGCGGCAAGAGCAGAGAAGAGCTGGAAAGAGACAGAGAAAGGAAAGAGAGAGAGCGCGCTCGGACGCACCCGTCCGCAGCAAGAGACGTTCGTTTCATTGGAGTAATATATGCTGCGTTGCAGACTGATTGAGTCTGTATGGATCGGATCTTCTAAAACGTGCGAGAATTCGGGTTGTAAGCGCGCTGATGTCTGCTGATGAACGTGGAGGATATAGCCTACACGGCATCAACACCGGTAGGTGGCCACTGGGAAGGGTGTAGGCACGGCGGGGGGCGCGCGTAGCGGCACCGGTACACAGACAGCACGGCACGTGCGCAACGCACACCACACATACACCCACGAGTGGGGGCGGCACGCACGTACGCATCACATTCACACACACACACGGGCACACACACCACACACACTAGGCACAGCACACACACACAGCATTACAGCACACATCACACAGACACACATACCAGCAGCACACACGACACACACGCCCCACCTACACACACACACGCACACCCACGCACCACGCGGCTGCCACGCGCACAGGCGTGCACTGCACGCACGAGAAGAAGAGAGAGAGAAGTTCGCGGTTTACAAATATATTACACGCTACTTATCGTGACACACATCTATAGTCCGCGCGCATGCGCGCGCGCGTATACAAGGCATCCTGCCGGAGACGACGCGACCAGACTATTGACGCTATAGAGAGAAAGAGAGAGAGAGAGAAGAGAGAGGAGAGAGAGAGAGCGAGAGATGCGAGAGAGAGCAGATAGAGTAGACGAAAGAGATATAGAGATAGAGAACGAGAGAGAGAGAGAGAGACAGAGAGAACGAGAGAGAGAGACGAGAGAGAAGAGGAGACAGACGAAGAGAGAGAGAGAGAGAGAGATGAGAGAGAGAGAAAGAGAGAGAGAGAGACAAAAGAGGATTAGAGAGAGAAAGAGAGAGAGAGAGAGAGGAGAGAGAGATAGAGAGAGAGATAGGAGAGGGCAGCGACGGAAGTAGAGATGGAAAGAAACTGAAAGAGAGAGAGAGAGAGAGAGAGAGAGAGAGAGAGAGAGAATTGTGAGCCTGTATAATACAATCGGGGGTACTGCCTTAGAAAGCTGGCTGGTCACTTGTCACAACTAGTTGTGTGTGGCATGGCTATAGCCATCTAGTGAGTGCTCGCTCGCGAGCCGCCCTGCTTTCACTTTTCTCATTGTAACAGTTCTACTAACAGCGGAGGGGGATAACGTGAATCACGCGTGTGTGGTCGTTCGATCAGTCCACCATTAAACGCGTGGCGGGGTCTGTACAGCCGCTGCAATTAATAGAGAGGGAGGGAGAGAGAGAGAGAAAGGGAGAGGGAGGGAGGGAGAGAGAGAGTGAGAGAGCGAGAGAGATAGAGTGAGAAAGAAGGTGAGAGTGAGAGAGGGAGAGGGAGAGAGAGACAGAAGATTAGACAGGCAGACAGACACACACAGAGACAGACAGAAGACCGACAGAGGGATAGCGGGAGAGGGAAGCTATCGAGTAGGAGAAGCGAGAAAGCGAGAGAGAACGCGATAGAGAAAGTGAGAGAGAGAAAGAGAGAGCAAGAGAGAGCAAGAAAGAGAGAGAGAGAGAGAGAGAGCAAGAGGAGGGAGAGACGCAAGAGGAGGCGAGAGAGAGAGAGAGAGAGAGAGAGAGAGAGAGAGAAATAGAGGGCGAGAGAGAGAGAGAGAGACAGACAGACAGACGGTGAATGTATTATGTGATAACTTTGATAAATCACGCTACCATAGAGATCCTCTACACAGGTGGGTACTCGACCTTACGTCTAGCACCAGTAACTATAAGAGTACACCGTACAATCCCCAAGTACTGTCTCTTACTCGTGCGCGACGAAGCAACTCTTAAGTAAAGAATGCAGATAGTATTGAAATCCGTTTTGAGTCTTGAGGAAATGAAACTTGACAATGACTGGATTGAGTGGAATGTAAGGATTACTGATATTATCCATGTTGAGTGGTTGAATGTGTTTATAAGGTATGTCCGGGACATGAGTACAGGGGGGGGGGCTACACTAAACCGACCTTCGCGGGACTATACGCGGAAAAATAGTTGACGTCATGATATCATCATCTGCTTCTTCAAGCTCTATAACTCCCTCAAGAGCTTGATTGCATAATAGAACATTTGATCTTCGTTCCTCTATAGCGCGTTGCTGCCAGTATATATATATATTATATATATATATATATATATATATATAATATACATATATATATTGTACTTCGTCTTACGCAACGTAAGGCTCGCCTTCTTCAGAATTCAGCCCGAAGTTTGCATTCACATCGTGGCAATTATAGAAAGTTTTAGGAGAAGCAGAGCGAAGCACTAGCGCACGCAGGCCCCCCCCCCCGGGCTTGGTCGCGCTACCTCTGCGATAATAGGTCTGGTACACCAAGCCACGGTGTGTCCGCACAACAGCGGGCGTCAGGTGATACGAGCTCCGGAGACGAGGGTGGCCGAAGATGCGAGGCAAACGGGAGTCTTTCACTCTCGAACACACAGAAGAGCCCGTCGCTAAAACGTGTGAGAACGCCGGCGACACGGGCTTAGCGTCTAAGCGAGGGAAGGCCACTGACGGTGTGTTTTCTCACAGCTAGCAGCGTAATCTCCCAGCTGACCTTATTTCCGCTCCGGTTAGACGCGGAAACGAAAGACGTCTTTAATTACGCGGCAAAGTGTTAGTAGAGGCACCGTGCAGTGCGCCTGGATGATCAGGTGATGGCTGGTGGATGCATGGTGCGGTAGCGCTTAATGCTGCGCGAGCGCAGGACCGCATGCTGAGATGCGGCGTCGGTATGCAGAGATGTTCATGGAACAATGGAGGTTTGGCGATCAATTCCGTCGAGGCGTCGGCGAGACCGCGGGAATGCATGCGGTCGGTGGACGCCATATGTAAACGCCGTTTATATCGCCTACCCGCGTTCATATTCATTGCTGTCACATTCGCGTAAACAAGCGACGTGCCACGGACTGTTGTGACAGCGTCGGTATCAACACCCGGACCTCTTAAAGAGTGATGAGCATCTCGACTCTATTGTAGTAGAGACACATACTGTTGGGAGAGGCGCGATACGTGAAAAAACATGAACCACAGCGGTTCGATCTCAAAGAAAAAAGATTTTCGAAAACACGTATTGGGATTCCAACCTTCGTTTTCTTACTCTAATATTGTCTTTGTATAAAAAAATTAGTAAGTGTGTGTGTGTGTGTCGTGCGTGCGTGCGTGCGTGCCCGTGTGTGTGCGTGCTTGTGTGTGGTGTGTGTGTGTGTGTGTGCGTGCGTGCGTGCGTGCGTTGCGTGCGTGCGTGCGTGCGTGTGCTGCGTGCTTGTGTGTGTGATGTGTGTGTGGCGTGTGCGTGCGTGGCGCGCGTGTGTGTGCGTGCTGTGTTGTGTGTGTGTCTGTGCGTGCGTCGTTCGTGCGTGCGTGCGTGTGTGCGTCTTGTGTGTGTGTGTGTGTGCGTGCGTGCGTGCGTGCGTTCGTGCGTGCGTGCGTGCGTGCGTGCGTGCGTGCGTGGCGTGCGTGCGTGCGTGTGTGTGTGTTGTGGTGTGTGTGTGCGTGTGTGTGTGTGTATGTGTCGCGCGCCAGTCGGTGTGTGTGTGTGTGCGTCGTGTGTGTTGTGTGTGTGTGTGTGTGTATGTGTGTGTGTGGTGTATGTGTGTGTGTATGTGTGTGTGTGTGTGTGTGTGTGTGTGTGTGTGTGTGCGTCTGTATGTGTGTGTATGTGTGTGTTGTGTGTGTGTGTGTATGTTGTGTGGTGGTGTGTGTGTATGTTGTATGTGTGTGGTGTTGTATGTATGTGTGTGTGTGTGTGTGTGTGCGTCTGTGTGTGCGCGGTGTGTGTGTGCGTGTGTGTGTGCGTCTGTGTGTGCGCCGCGTGTGTGTGTGCCGTGAGTGATGTGTGTGTATGGTGTGTAGTGGTGTGTGTGTGTGTGTGTGTGTGTTGTGTGTGTATGTGTGTGTGTTGTGTGTGTGTGTGTGCGTCGTGTGTGTGTGCGTGTGCGTGTGTGTGTGTGTGTGTGTGTGTAGTGTGTGTGTGTCTGTGTGTGTGTGTGTGTGTGTGTGTGTGTGTGTGTGTGTGTCGTGTGTGTGTGTGTGTGTGTGTGTGTGTGTGTGTGTGTGTGCTGTGTGTGTGTGGTCGTGGTGTGTTTGTGTGTATGTGTGTGCGCGCGCGTTCTAACGTTGAATGGCTACAGGCTACTGAGCGACTGAATTGGTCAAACAGCAATTACAGAAGCGATGAATTTGGTTATAGGGCGCATGCAGTGCGTGACCTTGTGCGTGTTAGCTGCATGGGAGGTGCCTGCAGCGAGCGGTAACTTAGAACCGTTAACGTTACAAGATGGATGACTGACACGTGACTGACGGGTCACGACTTGCTGTCTCATTTCTCACGTCTCCGCTTCTCACACAACCCGTAGTATGTAAATTCCAGTCCAGTCGCAATATCTCACATAACGAGTTACATCACAATGTCGGGGCGAAAGTCTTTCTATAAATCTTTTAGATTTTTTTAGATTTTTTCTAGGAATTGGTTTTTTGCTCGATGTATTTTTCGGTTATATGTGCCGTGATTTTAAGCACACGTCGTTGTTACTAATATAGTTATTATTACAGCGTTATATAATACTCATCTGTGTTCCTATGACGACATTTTGAAACGCGTACTAAGCTTAAACGTATTTCACTCTAGAGCGGCTTGGCGATTTGCTTCTTGATCGCAGATAATTCTTCTCGAGCGCTCTATACCCTCCCGCTAACCTGCCTGTCCGCTGGTATTAGCACAGATCTGCAGCAGCTGTCACAGATACTCTATTGCGGCAGGTCGTCCGTTACGGCACGGCCGCGGGCGTAAAGGCAGTTGATTTCGGCTCTCTCTCTCTCTCTCTCTCTCTCAGCTCGGAATGCTATGTTTTAATGATCGGCTGGTTCACCTTGGATATAGACAGCAGGCTCGCGGGGGGGGGGACCCCGCTACGCACTTTGAAGCTGCGAGTAGTCGTGATGTATTGGTCTTAATATTTGTCGTAAAGCAATCACTTGCACTTTTTTTGAAAGAGAGAGAGTGTCTACACAGTGTCCCCGTTTATATCGCAGGATATATATATATATATATATATATATTCGATGTGTACTATTTGTTTAGCGTAACTGCCACTATATTTTCCCTCTCATGTTTACTGAGTGTTTGCTAGTTAATCCTAAAGCTAGCCCTAATCTGTAAGGCGACGAAGCGATAAAAAAAACACTATTTTCGTGTTGCGCGAGTGAAGCGTGTTCGACACCGATGATAGATTTCGCTTTGCTGGTGAGCTGATGTATTGTGTCGGACAATCGTACTACATCTGAAGCGTGGTGACATACAGACCGGGATACCCACGCTTGTCGAGTATCGTTATGATACGTCAGCAGAATGTGGCTGGCACGTGTTCAGGTGCGCTACAGTTATCGTCACATAAAGAATGCGTAAAGCACAGAAAGACCCACTTTTTTCCTACATTTCTCGTCACTTGAAGATAAAAAAAAAAGCGGTGGTTACGCGTAAACCACAGATGTACCCGAATGGCCCCAACTTTCTACATATAAGGAGAACTGCGGCCCAAAGAATCGTAGCTTCTAAGTGGTTTTTAATCGAAGAATCAAGTGCGGGAACAACACCGTGACGAGGGCATTATGAGAGATTCCCTACCCCGCTGAGATATCTTGATAGCTGTCTCGTCTAACACATGTCTATGAATATTCATCTATGGAAGTTTACGTCCCCTCCATCCCCTCCCGTCGCAGCCGCAACCTACGCTACGCAACAAACCGATAATTCTTCTAGCAGCCATCCAAGAACTTACGTAAAGTCGTTGCGTATCAGAACGATACGATCAACTTTTCTAAAATTAGAACTTCGATCAACGCTTGATTGCGAAAGTTCACGCGCGCGCGTGCGCGGGGGGGCCTGGGTTCGTCTGCATACGCGCATGCGCACACCACCCGTCATATCGGTCATAGAGATAGCATCGCGTGGCGGGCTGTGGCCGAGTGTGGGTCATCCACGCACACGCCCCCCCCCGTCGAAACGGTGACGCGCGCCATGACGCAACAGCCGACGCATAACCATGACGACGACGAAGACTGGTTGGTTAACTCCTGGGGCGCTGCGTCGCGTGAGCCCAGCCAATCGCGTTAATTTCAATTATTTTATGCTGCGACTCAGGCGGCCTCTATTAATTTAATCTACGTTTGATAGCCGTTTGATAATTTACTACACTCTTTTTTATATGCGCTGACGTGTGCCATCGCGTGCGATTCAGCCCGTGTTACACGCCTCACGTGAGTTTATATATAACACCCCGGAGCAGCAGGCGCCTGCGGTAGTGTAGAACAACGCGTGGGCGGTGGAGTGGTGAAGGAGTTACTTGCTATTCATCTCTGCTGCTATCGGATGAACTCATCTAACTAGAACTCACTAGAATTCACCATTTGACACGGGCCGCAAATTATGGCTATTCGTGCCAAGATGATGTTTAAGATGTTGATCTATTAAGTTAATGGTGAGATAGGCGTTAAGTGATCCGCTCGGAAACCTGTTTCATCCGCTTTCGTTCATCCGCTGAACAAAACAAGATTAATAGCTTAGCAGCGATGGGATGGCTTGCTTATTGCGCTCTGCCACCGTGTTCTCACCGCTCGACGCATCTTTATAATATAGACTCTAAATGGAGGAGCGAGTGGAGGGAGGTTAATGTCTTTTAAACATTTAGCATATTATACTTTGCTGTTATTTTTAAAAAATTGCTCCTCGATGACACCTGTGTGACCTTACACGTGCTACTGCACAGACCGCCTTCAAAACCTCTTTGTTTGTGTTGGCGTTTTTTTTCGCGCTGTTTATTGGCGGAAATCGGCTGCTAAGTACAAATTGTCAGCGTCGCTGACCCTCCGAAGGCTTTTATTAACTCACAACCACCTTGGCAACTGTTAAAAAAATCTCCTCGGTAATTGGTAGGTTTGGGTCCGCTATCCTTGGCTCTGGGGGAGGAAACCACAATTTGTTTAACGCTAGCTTGCATGCGCGAACGCCTGTGGGTGGATTTACTCCCGCGAGCAGGTGCTGTCACATTGTCCTGCTAGCGGGGTGTCGCGCTCCGTCCTCGCGTCACGCTCTGATGTCCCCGCGCGCGTGTCACATCTTTACACCTGAAGCTGCTGCTCCGCTCCGCTCGCTACTCCCCCTGTTATCCACCCCGACGCCTCACGAAGCGACGAGCTTATATATATACTTATCCGTTTGAATTCACTCTAGCGGACCAACGATCGTCACTCGCTCGAAAGAAACTGGACTCGTTCGTATAATCTCTGACCATGAAAATCGCGGCTAGCATTAAGCTGCTGCTGCTGCTGCTGCTGCTGCTGCTGCTGCTGCTGCTGCTGCTTCTGCTGGTGGTGGTGCTGCTGCTGCTGCTGCTGGTGGTGGTGCTGCTGCTGCTGCTGCTGCTGCTGCTGCTGCTGGTGGTGGTGCTGGTGACGTTGACGGGTGGCTGGGGGCAGGTCGGTGGGCT